TTCATATGTCTTAATACTTGCAACACTACTATATAGCAAATAATTTGAGCCTGATGAAAGTGTATTACACTGAAAGCTCGCGTTTCCTCCTAAACAATAGTTTGATAAGTCTCTACTACCGGTTATCCATAAAATTATTATCTTCATATCTCGGTCATCTGAGAAGCTAGGACTCATTTTTTCAGGACAAACGTAATTTAAATGGCCAAACACCATTCAATAACATTTGGTTCGATCCGGATATCAAAACTATCAAATAAATGCGAAAATGAACCTTCATTTGGTAGTAAGTCATACCAAAAATAATTATTTCAATTGGGCACTCAGTGACTGAGCTATTAAGGCCAACGTATGGGTACTTACTTTTGCCCCCCCCCCTGTATTATTCAATAGTATACAAAAACATTTAAATTCAACGTCTGGCACGTTTGGGAGCGTTTAGGGGTCCACCATCACTTCTCATTCTTTTCAACGGCATGTTTCCAAATCGGACACAAATGTTTCCACAAGCTCAACTACTCTGACACCAAAATGGAAACATTGCCCCAGAGCCCTTTCTGGACATGCTAGACCCACCAAACTTCTCAGGGACACTTGTGGTATCAATACCAATCGATCCCAATTGGTTTCAGCTCATTTTAGGCGATTCTAGGACAATGTTCATTTTTTGTTCATTTCGTTCATTCCATGAACCAGGGCAATATTTCGCACTTCTGAGTGGCTAGAAATGTTAGTACACATGTCCCTCTACCATACCAGATCAATTTCAAGTCAGTCCAGGCATAATTGCGGCTACAAAGGCATGTTTCCAAATCGGACACAAATGTTTCCACAAGCTCAACTACTCTGACACCAAAATGGAAACATTGCCCAGAGCCCTTTCTGGACATGCTAGACCCACCAAACTTCTCAGGGACACTTGTGGTATCAATACCAATCGATCCCAATCGGTTTCAGCTCATTTTAGGCGATTCTAGGACAATGTTCATTTTTTGTTCATTTCGTTCATTCCATGAACCAGGGCAATATTTCGCACTTCTGAGTGGCTAGAAATGTTAGTACACATGTCCCTCTACCATACCAGATCGATTTCAAGTCAGTCCAGGCATAATTGCGGCTACAAAGGCATGTTTCCAAATCGGACACAAATGTTTCCACGAGCTCAACTACTCTGACACCAAAATGGAAACATTGCCCCAGAGCCCTTTCTGGACATGCTAGACCCACCAAACTTCTCAGGGACACTTGTGGTATCAATACCAATCGATCCCAATCGGTTTCAGCTCATTTTAGGCGATTCTAGGACAATGTTCATTTTTTGTTCATTTCGTTCATTCCATGAACCAGGGCAATATTTCGCACTTCTGAGTGGCTATAAATGTTAGTACACATGTCCCTCTACCATACCAGATCGATTTCAAGTCAGTCCAGGCATAATTGCGGCTACAAAGGCATGTTTCCAAATCGGACACAAATGTTTCCACGAGCTCAACTACTCTGACACCAAAATGGAAACATTGCCCCAGAGCCCTTTCTGGACATGCTAGACCCACCAAACTTCTCAGGGACACTTGTGGTATCAATACCAATCGATCCCAATCGGTTTCAGCTCATTTTAGGCGATTCTAGGACAATGTTCATTTTTTTGTTCATTTCGTTCATTCCATGAACCAGGGCAATATTTCGCACTTCTGAGTGGCTATAAATGTTAGTACACATGTCCCTCTACCATACCAGATCGATTTCAAGTCAGTCCAGGCATAATTGCGGCTACAAAGGCATGTTTCCAAATCGGACACAAATGTTTCCACGAGCTCAACTACTCTGACACCAAAATGGAAACATTGCCCCAGATCCCTTTCTGGACATGCTAGAACCACTAAACTTTTCAGGGACACTTGTGGTATCAATACCAATCGATCCCAATCGGTTTCAGCTCATTTTAGGCGATTCTAGGACAATGTTCATTTTTTGTTCATTTCGTTCATTCCATGAACCAGGGCAATATTTCGCACTTCTGAGTGGCTAGAAATGTTAGTACACATGTCCCTCTACCATACCAGATCGATTTCAAGTCAGTCCAGGCATAATTGCGGCTACAAAGGCATGTTTCCAAATCGGACACAAATGTTTCCACGAGCTCAACTACTCTGACACCAAAATGGAACATTGCCCCAGAGCCCTTTCTGGACATGCTAGACCCACCAAACTTCTCAGGGACACTTGTGGTATCAATACCAATCGATCCCAATCGGTTTCAGCTCATTTTAGGCGATTCTAGGACAATGTTCATTTTTTGTTCATTTCGTTCATTCCATGAACCAGGGCAATATTTCGCACTTCTGAGTGGCTATAAATGTTAGTACACATGTCCCTCTACCATACCAGATCGATTTCAAGTCAGTCCAGGCATAATTGCGGCTACAAAGGCATGTTTCCAAATCGGACACAAATGTTTCCACGAGCTCAACTACTCTGACACCAAAATGGAAACATTGCCCCAGAGCCCTTTCTGGACATGCTAGAACCACTCAACTTTTCAGGGACACTTGTGGTATCAATACCAATCGATCCCAATCGGTTTCAGCTCATTTTAGGCGATTCTAGGACAATGTTCATTTTTTGTTCATTTCGTTCATTCCATGAACCAGGGCAATATTTCGCACTTCTGAGTGGCTAGAAATGTTAGTACACATGTCCCTCTACCATACCAGATCGATTTCAAGTCAGTCCAGGCATAATTGCGGCTACAAAGGCATGTTTCCAAATCGGACACAATTCTGACACAATTCTGACACATGTTTCCAAAATGTTTCCAAAATCTCGGATTCATGAACTCGCTAGTACCAGTAGATGAATCTGAACTTTTTCTAATCGGGTGGCATGATTATGAGCCTTTTGTAGCTAATTGTGACAGTAATTCTGCTTAACTTTCGTATATCATGTTTAGTTCGGTTGCGGGCTGCAGTCAATAAACGAGAGCAGCTGAACTGAACCTGCACTTACATTGCCTATGTTTAACAATGTCAGTAATCTCCATGAGGTTTTCCGTTGAACCACATGGCCATTTCGGGACCAGTGGCGTAACGAAGGGCCCTGCTGACCCCGCTGTGCAGGGGGGCGCCGTCTTAGGGGGGCGCCAAATCGTCGTTTGAATGTGGGACAATTTCGAAAACTTAACTAAAGTACTAGCAAAACTGCGCGTTTTGCTCTAGATACACACTTTTTTAGAGATTTTACCGGCGTATCCTCTAAAATCACCTAATTTGTTCAATTTTAGGGAGGGGCACCAAAAGGGGAGGGGGCGCCAACAGGGGGGCGCCTTTTCGGCAGGGGGGCGCCAACAGGCAACGTTACGCCACTGTTCGGGACAATAGTCGTTTCATAGCGTGTCATCCTTTGACTTGAGGTTATCGTAAACCACACTTACATTTAGGGTTAAAACAGCTAACAACACTAATGATACGATAACTAATAAAGGACAAACAGTAATAAGCTACAAAATTATATAATGTACTATTTTTTGGGCGTTTTTGTATCTCTGAACAGGACAATTCAAAGATGCAGATTGCAGGGTTCAACTATAAGTTGAAAATCCTAATCGACGTATTTTTAGCCATGTAATATGGCTAAAAATACGTCGATAAGGATTTTGAGCCCACACCTTTTTGCTACGCTATCTGCGAACAACTATCCGAGTAACTGAAAGCACTGGCAAAAAATAAGTGCATAAAGATGAGTCAGGGGAGACTTTGTTGTGAAGAGGAGCGGTATGCGAGTGCCTGATTGTGTTCTTTATCTTGGAATGTTTAAAATTTAACAGTACCAATCTCCACTGAGGTCTGTGAGGCTTTAAAACTAACAATTTGGACTTTGTGATTCAAAGAAAGCTAAAAGACAACTTCAATATCACTTTTAAAAACATTACATAATTATAAAGCCAGCGTTTTAGAGTTTTAAAATCTAAACAAATAGGAATTCACAACATTAGAAAGACGCAATGATAAAGGTAACATGCGCTACTTTATTGGCTACTATAGCAACCACAGTCCTACTAAAGACTACTTGTGAAGAACAGTGGCATGCACGACAAAACATATTACTAGATACAGATACAATACATTACTAGATACAGATACAATACATTACTAGATACAGATACAATACATTACTAGATACAGATACAATAAATTACTAGATACAGATACAATACATTACTAGATACAGATACAATACATTACTAGATACAGATACAATACATTACTAGATACAGATACAATGCATTACTAGATACAGATACAATACATCTACGCACTGATAATACAATACAATTAATTCTGATATGCCTTATATTTGTATTAATTGTAAAGTCAAATTTTATCGACAGTTTTCTTGTTTCAGTTTTTCACTGCTAAATTAAAAAAAAATGTATTCTATGCTAGCTGGCAGTTTAAGCGATTTATAAATGTTTAAAGAAATTTTAGTGATTTATACGCTGATTGATTTATATACGCTCTAACTCATTTAAAATGTCAATTTGTGCTGCAATATAGGTCTCGGTTCGAGAATTAAACGTACATTTTTCAAATTCCAATGAAACAGAGGTTAAAAAATGTATTCGCGGAGGTCAGATCATACTCGTGAATCATATCCACTATTGAATGAGGATCTCACTTCTCAAACCGTCTAGAGACTAGAGTTACTAACAAATATCACTTAGTCGCTTTTTCTTTGTTGGCGAAACTGGTTGCCCGTTTAAAAGAATCGTTAACATAATTTTACGTACGCCAGTTTTTGCCCATTTAGACTGCCTCTTTACACATTAAGCCGTAGGTAGAAATAGGTAGAAATAGGTAGAAATATGTAGAAATAGGTAGAAATATGTAGAAATAGGTAGAAATGACACTTACATTAGCTTCTACAAACCCCCTCCCCCAAAGCTGATTTACGTGATATAATGTGAACGATACTTTGATAGGACAGTAAAAAAAACAACAAAGTTTAACAACTTGAGAACTGATAGTATAAGGACATATAATACTCATAATATATAAGTCACCGTTTCATTGTCTCTAATCGCAGATTTTAATTGACATACTTTTATTTTTTGGATATCGTTTAAGGAACATTTCATTAAAATAACCGATTTCCAAGGTTAAACCAAGAAACTACGAACTGAAAGAACAATTAAATTATCTTTAAATACTGGAGATTTCCATAATTATAATGTTTACTCCTGGCTGCAATACCCCATTTTATTACTTAAGTTTGGAAGTAAACCCTAAAATAACAAATCAGTGTATACCAAATGATACCAGATCATACCTGATAACTGCTGCCCCCAAAAAATATTATTGAATATATCCTGAGTAAAATTTAGTCTTAAGCACTCTCTTAATTTTAAGAGAGTTTATCATCAGTGGATATTGTGTAGATGTTATACAGAGATTTAAAATGTAACAAGGTACAAGGCTTGCTCGGTTTTCAGTCTGCATGGTTTGATATTATGGTGATTTGGACCTAGATCTTCCAGAGGCAGCGGAAACAGGAGAGCGGGAAGCTGATTTGGGAGTGGGAGATTTCCTTCTGTTGGAGGAGCGGCGGGGCTGACTCCTGGACCTGGATCTGGAACGAGAGGGTGTTTTAGAGCCAGGTGTGTGTGATCTGGACCTGGACTGACGGGATCTGCGGGGGGATCTGCTGCGGCGTCTCCTTCTGGGGCTCCTGCTGCGACTGCGGCTGCCCCTCCGGCCGTAACCGTAACGTGTAGCCGCGGTCTCCTTGCGTCTCATCAGGTTAGGATTCTTTCTGTCGCCCTCTGCAAAAACAATCTCCAACTCCCTGTCCATGAACCTGTATCCGTCCAGCTCCTCCATGGAATCTGATGCGTCACGTGCGTCCTCAAACTCAACATACGCGAAACCACGTGGCTCTCTCGTGTAGTAGTCAAGTGGGATGTACACGTCTCTCACGTAGCCATACCGAGTAAACAACTTGCGCAGATCCTCAGGCTTGGTGTCGTATGACACATTACGTATAAACAAAGAGGTGGTCCCTCTGCCTCTACCACTGCGGCGATGTGACATGACCTGATCAAAAGAGAAGTTAAAAATATTTACAAACACCGTAAACAATAAACCATAATCCCGTGTATCATAAAATGAAGTAAGTAACGAATCAAGCAGAGAGAGAGAGGTAAGAATGAAGTAATGTTGAGTGAATGTTGTGTACACATGTCATGTGACATAGCCTGTCAAAATCCACTGTCAAACACAGTCATACACTTTCATGGCACTGATCATATGACTTATTAGCTTAGCAACTAAACTTATCTAGTTACTACAACAATCTGAACACCTCCAGTATGATGTTACCCTTAATGCTAGTTGAATTGGGGTGGCAAGCCATACAGTATAGCCTCAACAGTGGTTAATATTATAGCGTGGATCAGCTGTGAACCCCGAGGTCTAGGTCGAAATTACGGCAGTATCCAACACGCCCGACCAGCGGAATTCCACGTTAAACCTATTTCCAACAATATCCCTATTCTGTAGTAGTGGAACAGCAATACTAAGGTAATGGGACGAAGATGACGATCAGACCTCATTAATATCCCTATTCCACTTGACTGGTCGGGCTCCTTGGATAGTGCTGAAACTACTACCCAATGGTAATGACGAGTAAAATAAACTGTCATGTCATCATGATGATATCTCGTTTACACTTACTAATATGAGATGGATGTGTATGAAAATGACACCGTAATGCCAAGATAAGGGTGAGTTAAATAACTTCTTACAAATTGCACTTGTATGGATCTTTAATCTTTGTTATTCGTTAGGGAATCTTGAACTTTAATAAAATCTTTAGCTTTAGCCTTTATATAATCTTTAGCCTTTAGAACTCTAGAATCTCTGTCCTGGTTGATTGAATGTGAGATAATTCAGAAGCGTTATTACACTGTATTCCTTAATGGTTTACAATTATGTTGAACATCACAATTTCAATTTTTTTCAGATCACTTGAATTTTTTGGTTCACGAAAAAGTATACGGTCACAGGGGTGAGCTGGGACAGGAAAAAGATACTAAGTTTAATTTAGTTAAAGGGGACAAATTCTGGTGAAAGAGGGGTCTGGAGGAGGGGTCCTGCCCCAGTAAGAGGGGTCATACCCTAGTAAGAGGGGTCATACCCCAGTAAGAGGGGTCATACCCCAGTAAGAGGGGCCATACCCTAGTAAGAGGAGTCATACCCCAGTAAGAGGTGTCATACCCCAGTAAGAGGTGTCATACCCCAGTAAGAGGTGTCATACCCCAGTAAGAGGGGTCATACCCCAGTAAGAGGTGTCATACCCTAGTAAGAGGGGCCATACCCTAGTAAGAGGAGTCATACCCCAGTAAGAGGTGTCATACCCCAGTAAGAGGGGTCATACCCCAGTAAGAGGGGCCATACCCTAGTAAGAGGGGTCATACCCCAGTAAGAGGTGTCATACCCCTGTAAGAGGGGTCATACCCCAGTAAGAGGTGTCATACCCCAGTAAGAGGGGTCATACCCTAGTAAGAGGGGTCATACCCCAGTAAGAGGGGTCATACCCCAGTAAGAGGGGTCATACCCCAGTAAGAGGGGCCATACCCTAGTAAGAGGTGTCATACCCCAGTAAGAGGTGTCATACCCCAGTAAGAGGTGTCATACCCCAGTAAGAGGGGTCATACCCCAGTAAGAGGGGTCATACCCCAGTACTATTAAGAGGGGTCATACCCTAGTAAGAGGGGTCATACCCCAGTAAGAGGTGTCATACCCTAGTAAGAGGGGCCATACCCTAGTAAGAGGGGTCATACCCCTGTAAGAGGGGTCATACCCCTGTAAGAGGGGTCATACCCCAGTAAGAGGTGTCATACCCCAGTAAGAGGGGTCATACCCTAGTAAGAGGTGTCATACCCCAGTAAGAGGTGTCATACCCCTGTAAGAGGGGTCATACCCCAGTAAGAGGTGTCATACCCCAGTAAGAGGGGTCATACTCTAGTAAGAGGAGTCATACCCCTGTAAGCAGTAAGAGGTACAGGTGTCATACCCCAGTAAGAGGTGTCATACCACTGTGGGAAAAGCCTTACTCCTTTGCCATTTGATTTATTTTGATAACTTCTTACGTAACTTTGAAATTTGTAATACTCACTCACCAAATATAATCTTTACAGATTCTTTATTCCTGCCACTTTATCTTTACTTTCTATTTTATTGCTCGCTCTGAACATCATAAAATTTGAGTGCAACTCTGAAAAGCAGTGATACGCAAAAGAAACAATTCACAATTCATTCAACCTGTTGAGTGTTACTTTATCCCATTAATTAAAGTAGTTTAAAAAGAAATTATAGTGAGTTTTACAGTGCCGTAAGAACAAAGTATTGCAGGTTAGAGAACATTATCACAGAGACATACTACGGAGCTAGGGTAACAAAATCCAACTAGAAAATTAAAAAATCATTCCTATTAAATTATGTAGACTAGTAGGCTAGGAGACTATTTACTAAGTAACATACTCTAGAAACTAGTTTCATTTTAATACTACACAATACCCTACTATGCAAATAAGGCTTTTAGCATGCTTCCCTCTTAATACTAACATATCATAACAGATTACATTTAAAATATTGTCGATACAAAAATATCCCATTAGGACACATCATCTTTGTGTCATTAAAGATAAAATGAAGACATGGTTGAATTGTTTCAGTATAGCAGTTTAGTATCTCATCATGAGATTCTCATGATGCCCATATATGGGCAACGAACATTTTCCTCTCAGAGTAATATTAATCTCCTGTATAACTGCTGTTTCGTGAATAAAACTGTTTGACTTGGCGTTCTCTTGACAGTCCAGGGCGTCGTGAATCTTATTACCTGAATAGAATCATATAAAACTAATGATAAAATAAGCAAATAAACACCCCACAAGACTAGTTTTATGTGTAATCATGTTAGTAAGCATGTGAATTGTGAGTGGTCGGGCCATCAAATCTAGAAACTTGGTGGTCATTTGAAGTTGTGGGGGGGGGGGGGGGGCGGGGGTTCATAATGGCCGTGTTTACGGAAAATTTGGAGCACGTGGTCGTACATGGTGGTCTTTAAACTCAATGGTTAGATAAAATGTCCATTTCTTTTTTTGAAATTTTCATTAAACTCTAGTTTTAGTTCCAACCTAAAAATATAGGGCTCTGTTCGCGTTTGGGCAAAAAGGACGACAATCGGTGTGCCTCTTCCCCAAGACTGCTGAGAGAGAAGGGAACAAAAGAGAAGACAGGATGAGTGAGAGATGATACTACGATAGGATTATTTGAAGCGGTGTAAACGGTGCGGCGTGGGCTCACAATTTGAATGGATGGTTACAGTCTGTGAGTGTGTCAATGATCAGTCATATACTCGGATAGTCCAACATGTAAACATTCAAATCAGTCATCACAATTCACAAGACTCAGCTCCAGGAACACACACTCTTAAAAAATGGCTGGCGCATTATTTGAGAACATTAGCATGCACTTCCAACACCGGATTTGCAGTCGATGTACAATTCTACAAATGCATGACTGGCACAAATGTTATACCCTTGACAGTGTGTTGATAAGGATGAGCTATGTAGTGTACATGTAGAATGATAATATATTATGGGTGGGCGACAATTGACCCCCGGCCCCCGACAATTGACCCCCCGACAATTGACCCCCCGACAATTGACCCCCCGACAATTGACCCCCCGACAATTAACCCCCCGACAATTGACCCCCGACAATTGACCCCCGACAATTGACCCCCCGACAATTGACCCCCCGACAATTGACCCCCGAAAATATAATTTAATACAATTAACCCTGACCCTGACCCTGACCCTGACCCTGACCCTGACCCTGACCCTGACCCTGACCCTGACCCTGACCCTGACCCTGACCCTGACCCTGACCCTGACCCTGACCCAGGAACAGCTGTCCCTGACCCTAACCCCAACCCTAACCCTAACCCCAACCCTAACCCTAACCCTAACCCTAACCCTAACCCTAACCCTTTAACCCTAACCCTAACCCTAACCCTAACCCTAACCCTAACCCTAACCCTAACCCTAACCCTAACCCTAACCCTAACCCTAACCCGATTAATTTACCCCAGTTTAATTACAATTGTCGGGGGTCAATTGTCGGGGGGTCAATTGTCGGGGGGTCAATTGTCGGGGGGTCAATTGTCGTACTAAGCCCTAGATTTCGCGACAATTGACCCCAGTGTAATTACATAGGGGGTCAATTGTCGGGGGGTCAATTGTCGGGGGGTTAATTGTCGGGGGGTCAATTGTCGGGGGGTCAATTGTCGTACTAAACCCTAGATTTCGCGACAATTGACCCCAGTGTAATTACATAGGGGGTCAATTGTCGGGGGGTCAATTGTCGGGGGGTCAATTGTCGCGGTACCTATATTATGACATAATGATATGATATATGTAGTACAATACTCACAATTTATGTTATAAATCTAATAGAATACTTACTCGACTATTGCAGAGGGCTGTTATGATAACAGATCGATCTTTGAAACCTTTTAAAAGCCTTTTACTTTCTTTAACTACTTTAAATCCGAGAATAGATCTCAACAGATCTTTAAGGTTTACGTAGCGCGTAAGCGGTTTTGTCCTTAAATTCTTTATCATTGTCATGGTAACAGTAGTGTTGTCATGGTAACTGTAGTGTTGTTATGGCGGTGTTTAAAAAACTCCATACCGGCTTAAGTTAAACTTATTTCTTTGTTCATGTCGGTTTACGTTACCTTTATTTCTTTGATCGTATGGCAATATGACATCATCTTTTAAAGATACGAATCTTGGTATATAATTTCTTCAATTTTCTCCATCGTTCAGTAATTTTATACAGGACTAGGTGCTGAATAATATTAGGAACTATAAATTTACCAACTCTAGTCATCATCGGGGGAGGTCAGATATTGGACAAGAAACCTTTTGGAAGTGGAGACAGCTGATTCACTTCCCAAACTTTGACGTCTTCATGGATGTGTCAAATAACAGCAATATCACAGTGGAACACTTTTCCATCAAATAAATTGATAAGCCGCAAAAGGTTGGAAATATCATTTAATTCTCTAGCTCATAATCTAAGGTTGCTGGAGCAAAATGAAACCTCGACTGTTTCATATGAACACTTTGGAGCAGAATAGAGCTTTGATATTAAATTTGACTACTTTGGGGAAAAAATGGACCTTTGGCATTGTATTTGACTACTTTGGCATAAATTGAACCTTTGTAAACGTTTGAAGACTTTGAAGCAGAAGAAACTTTGATGTCGGCCTTTCATATCATTGGAGCAAGTGAAACCATGGCATGTCCGCCCATAACTACCTTGAAGCAAATTGAAGCTTTGCTGTGGGCCTTTCACTACCTTGAGGGGGATTGAGGCTTGGAACAACATATTGTGTACATGAAGCTTTAACCGAAGAGCAGTTCTTTTAGAGTGACCTTTGACTGAAGAATTCCGGAGAATCTGCAAATCTACCAATAGCTGATGCAACTTAATCTGAAGAATAGTTGCGTCAAAGCTTACAATTACATATCCTTTAAGTCTAAGTAATTTTTTAGATGAACTGATGAGCAGATCGAAATCGTAACAAAATAATGATTCAACGATTTTACTATATTATATGTTAAAAATTGACGTTGAATCAGGTTTCATTATGAATGCAAACACTTAATAATTCTGAACGCCATGTCGTAGAAATTATATTCAGACTACCTAAAATAATCTCCTAGATGAAACAGATTAAAGTTCCCAGTCATCATACTGTATTAAATGAACGATTCCCTTTTGATAAGTCATCACGTTATAATGTAACAAAAATTCAACACATCAGGTAAATTTGAAGATTTGGAAAAAAATCATGTGTAAGTTTATAATTAGTACGATGAATCTACAGAGGTTATATACATAGTTGACATACCTCTAGCTTTAGTTGAAGTCTATGTCCAGATTGTCCATATCATCCATTGCATCCAACTCTTCGTAATACTCTTCCTCATCAACAAACTCCTGGGTAAAAAGCAGAATTTAACAAGCAGTAACTGCACTGACTCATACAGCTCCATTTTCACCTGTTGCATATTTCTCTTTCACTTTCACTTTAACCCTTTCCATCTTTGGGTGCAGGTATAGTCCCTCCACAAAAATGATAGTGCAGGCTGTTCTCAAACGATCTCTGATTAAAAATTTGATAGCTATGTTTGTCAAACTGTTAACTATGTATCAAGTCGGAGAATCCGAATACTACTTACAAAATCCTCTTCATTGTTTCGTCTAGAATCACTCTGCCTTCTACGACTGCGGTTGGTGTGGTCCTCACGTCTCCGGTCAGACATTTTGTGTGATCGAGGTGAATGTGTTCTCTCATGATGAACTGGTATTTCAGGAGTTTCGAGCAAAACTCTTGCTTGAGGTGACCTCCCACGCACAACATCCCTTCCTCCTTTCGGAGACCTACCTCTAGGTCGAGAACTTACTCTCCCTTTTGGGATATCTGGAGAGAAACGTGATCTATTGGGTGGTGCAGTACTGTGATTTGCTTGCATGGGGCTGCGCCTGATTGGCCTTTTCCTTGGAGGACTCTGATCAAAAGATCCTTGTGTTCGCCTGAGTCCATCATATCTAGACTGTCGACCATCATCTACATTTTTTTCATCTCGCCTTTCATTCATTCGATCATCTCTAGCCCGCACTCTGCCACCCTGTCGTGAGGACCCTATCGTCCTATCATCCTTGTTGTCATTAGAAACAGTTATCCTGTGGTTTGTTAAAGGGCTGGTATGGTGACGGACTCTGGGAGGGCTGGTAGATCTCCTACTAGATAATATGATCAACTCTTCTCTTATGCTGTGTTTACTTCTGTTCACGTTGGGTCTGAGACCAGGAGAGGGTGATCTACGGGAAGTGCGATGAATAGGGGATCTGTTTCCAGGGGAACGCCTCAAAGCATGGTCAGAATGTTGAGGGGGAGATTCAATAAGAGGAGCAGGAGACCTGACCCTTCTCTGTGGACGATTGTGTGGAGCTGGCGACCTCTGCCTCCTCACAATGTGTTCTTTACCCGGTGGGGATCTGTTTCTAACTGGGCCTGGGGAGCTCCTTCGTACAGGTATTCTTCTCCTGGAAGGAGGAGAGCGAGCTGGGTCAAGTCCTACTGTCAATCTGTTTCTTACAGGAGATCCTCCTCTGGTAGGGGATCTTTGCTGAGGAGGTGATCGCTGACGAATGATAGGGGATCTCTGTCTTAATGGTGAACGATTTCCTTGCCGTAACAATGGTGAATGATCCCGGTGGGAGTTGCGATAAGAAGGAGGGGAGTTGCGCCTATTCATTGATCTATGAGGCTGAGGGGAACTCCTTCTCCGTCGTGGGGACTCTGATCTTCTCCGATCAGAAGAACTGTTTCTCCGTGAGGTGGTTTCCTTCCTCACCATTTGACCTGAAAATATTTGTCAAAATTCACAGGACAAAGACATGGATAATTTTGGGGAGGTGAACCATATTTCTTGACATGGAACTATGGAAAGCGTTTTACCAATCAGTACAGATTAGAGGAATGGCCAATAAAATGTACATATTATATATATACTTTTTATATATATATAAAAAGTTCATATATTAAGATAAAATCATAATTTTGGAGGATATTATCTTAATTGTATCACTAATTTCTGTTGGTTAATTGAAGGGTTTGTGTATTAAGCGATATACCTGATTGCATATTTTATTGTGAAAATATCATATAAGTTGGTTGTTACTTGTTGGACACTGAAATAAATAAAAACAACCTTTTATTAAAGCAACTTTAAACAGACTGGATCTGCAATGATGTGGAGTTGCCACATGCCTGATAAATCAGTATGAAAAATTACCTGGTTTTTTGCGATCCCCTTCTGCAAAGCGTACATCAAGTTCTCGACCTTTCATTTTAAAACCGTGTAGTTCCTGAACAGCTGCTTCAGCATCTTGCTCGTTTTCAAATTGAATGTATCCAAAACCTCGTGGTTCCTGAAAATATAATATTGTACTTGATCGCATTCAATATAATTTAAGATATATATGAATCTTGATTGTTGGAGGGAGTATGCGTTACATTTAAAACAAACATTAAAGGCTCTCGTGATGAAAATATCATTAAAGAATTCAAATTTGAGAAGAAAAGTTAAAACAAGTTTCTGCCAACCTTTGTGTGAAAGTCGAGAGGGATATAAACATCTCGTAATCTGCCAAATTTTCCAAATACGTCTTTCAGATCAACTTCTTTGGCATCATAGGGTAAGTTCTTGACAAAAACTGATGCATTAGGAAGCGCCGACTTTTTTGGCATCCTTATGAATAAATTATTGTGAAATATGATATTACGTAGGTGGCAAATATGATAATGAAAATCTCTTGTATGTCTCATATGTGCTATAACAACTCAACATTCTATTAAATCGAAATATATGTGTTTAATCACGTAAATGGTTAAAGGCTATGAATGCTGCCAGCTGCTATACATTTTCTAGCAGAAAATGAGCAAGGTTGTTTCAATACTGACTCCTGCTGTTAGCGCAGTAACTTATTAATAATACCCACAGAAATTATTATGGGAAAATAGCATCTTTTCTGCTAAAGGTTTCACTTGATTGCCTTATTGACCAGGGCAGGCACTGGGGGTAGACATTCCAACACCAGTGCGTTGGGACATAGTGTTGGTCTGCTTCAGGATGGGTTAGATCCCAGACAAGCCGCCATCCCTCTACTGCTTTAGCTCAGTAGCAGCACGAGCACTGGTCTCCTGCCACATTGGTACCTCCGAAAGTACAGAAAGGTGGTGGACTTCGGGGCCCAGGATCCTCCCTCTTGATTTAAATGAGATCATATGGGGCCGTTTAACTAGTTGGCTAAATTATGGAGAGATTCATTTTGTCTCCAAAGAAATTCAACTCTTCTGATAAATACTTTTCGCGTGCTGCTTTTTGTTGGAATCGGAATTTCTTCTAGATTAGAATACGAGTCAGCTCCATTCAGTTCTTGTTTCAGTTGAAGGTGACTGTTGTCCTGGACTGCTTTTGTAAGAAAAAAGGCTGCGCCTCCACGAGTTATATTGGGGTTACTGATCAACTTTCAGGATTTAAAGAAAAGCCGATTATATACATCAAAATGGCGGCACATTCAGCAATGAGCGTATAATTCGAAAAATTTAAAGAATTAACTAGCATGATTGTATGTTTCGAAATAACTATATCCCCTGGCCCTTTCAATAGTTTTGTTCCCCTAATTCTGTCAAATTTTAAATATCTAACAGTGTTATTATATCGTAGAGGATGAATGAAAACCAACAAGACCAGGATATTACCAAGCTGGACCTGGGCAAGATAAAAGAAAAGAAAAAAGAACTGAGGAAACAGAAAGAGGAGGTTCTCTCCCAAAGGTTCAAGGTGCTCTATAATGAGTCAGATCATCCTCTTAAGAACCACCTAGACCAAGCAAGAGAGAAGGGAGCCTCAACATGGCTCTCAACACTACCACTGTAGGACCTCAACTATGTTCTGAACAGGTAGGAGTTTGTATTCCTTAAATATGCATGCGGAAATGTAAACAGTATCTATAACGCCCTTGACTGTAAACTAGGTGGATACGTTTCTATGTGCCACAATGCCATAAGAGACACTGCTGCTTTCTTCCTCCGAGAAGCAAAGTGTAAAGACGTAAGGATAGAACCAGCACTCATACCAGTCCAACCAAGCTCATTCTCAAGGAAGACCAACACCCAGGATGAAGCCCGTCTTGATGTAGCAGCTGTCGGATTGTATGCACCTTTTGAAAGAACATTCTATGACATCAGGGTCACACATCCTAACTGTGACACAAATACATTTAAGCCACTAGATAAGATCTATAGAGATCATGAGAAAGAAAAGAAAGATTTGTATGAAGAGAGAGTACTTCAGTCGGAGAAGGGATCCTTTATCCCTCTAGTCTTCACAACCTCCGGAGGTATGGGATCACTCTGCACAGTGTTTGTAGATCGTGTCTCTGAGATGATAGCTGACCACAAAAAAGAAGCCAAGAGCCAAGTCCAAAATCATATCAGAACACGATTCAGATTCGATCTGTTAAGAAGTACACTCATTGCACTGAGGGGAATCAGAGGAAGAAAAGAGATGTATTGCGATGTGGTAAGACATGTAAGGACAAGAATAAGATTCGCTATGTTAAGAACCACACTCATAGCTCTACGAGGGTACAGAGGAAAAAAATGGACAGCAAATATGAGACACCACTATCAGAAGTCTCTTATAACCTCATCCCTGCCCCTATGATGGAGTAGATGTGTATATATCTGATTGTTGATATTTCATATGTAATATTGGTAGCAGTGGACAATTTCCGCTATCTCTGTATTGAGCTTTGCCAATTGCAACACTTGAATCAGAGGAAGGCCAACAGCCCAGCATCTTGAACTGCAAGACGTATCCTTCAACCTCATCTCCTAGATTTGTTTATGTAAATTTTGTAGATATTTTACTGTACTATTTTATATTGTATACAATTTTACGGACGAAATGATCCCAGGGGGGACTCCCAACCCACTGCTTCGGCGGGTAGTTGATGCACCGATCACAAGCAAGAGCCACTTTGGTCTATTTGCTGTGAGGTGTCTCAGCTACATGGGTTGGGGTCCCCCTTTTTTTCTTTAAAAAAAAGAAAACTAATTCGATATCAACAATCACAAATCACTATATGGGTTACTTGGGTTACTTGGGTTGGGTTCCGAGCTAGAGTGTAGAGTGCTACCAGGCCAAGAATGTCTTGCATCTCCACCGCCAATATGTACTATAATAATAATAATATATCATGATGAAATTAAAATGTATTTCTTGACTTTTTTGACGGATGTTGATTCACGATGTCAATCCTTGCATCTCGCCGATCTGCATACGGTTGCGAGAAGCATTATTTGATGCGCGCGCGACCCAGTAGTGCATCGCGCTACAAGCAATGACGGATGTTACTCGTCTAAATTTCTTCGAAGTAGCGCGGGCCGATTTCTTCTCGAAATGTTGGCCCGATGGCACGAGCTACGAAGTAGCGCGCGCCGGGCCAGATCATTAACAATGGTCAAGACTTTTTAGTCGATAGAAACGTTTGGAATTCCGAATTAGTACAGACGATGAATCCACATCAATAAAAATACGTAAAAACATAGTTAATAATCAATTTACATATCTTGACAACAATTGATTCAAAAAGAGTCCTGGGACTTTATCAAATATCACCGAAAACTACTGTGTACTTTGTATTATCACGTCGTAACCCTTACAGTCTTTGAGTTTCTACGATACAGGGGGCCGCCCACTCGTGTGCGGCGGGTCATACAACGTATGACAATGTGTACTGAGGTATTTATATAAACGTAAAATAGAGATTCGGCGGAATAACAGGCTGAGCGCGGCCCAGTAATATTTGCTTCAGCGCCCGATTTTCATATAATATTACGGTGTAACTTGTTGTAGGTTCATAATTTACCAAAACACACGCCGAGTTGGGCTCGTCGACGATTCGAAACAAATATTTTCGTGAATGTAAAATGGTAACAATATGCGCAGCTTATATAAAATTGTGGTTCCGTGTCACAATAATTTTTTGTCGTAGCATAGCATATAGGGACTACGGGTGGAAGATGAATAATTGATATTCCAACAGCATCTTGTTCCCTGCATTGTGCTTCTTTTAGTTCTGGCAACAAGGTAAGAAAAATCGTTTTCATTTTATTTTGAAATGACAATATTAATGTAATTATAATTCAGGAAGATCAAGGGCCTCTACGACAAATTGAAAAAGCGTAAGAACATGCGGAAAAGGGAAACGATTGAAAATTTTGACTCCTTCTTGGACAAGGAGTTCCTTCTTGGTAGAGATCGTGCTGCAGACGATCACCATGTACTTACTGGGCCGCGCTCAGCCTGTCATTCCGCCAAATCTTTATTATTTAATGTTTATGAACATAATAGCCTGGGGTCCCCAGGTAACCATGTACCTGATTCCCATGTTCCTGATCCATTACAGTAAGTTATATTAAGATAAGATACTGGGAGCGGATAAGACTGATAGGTTATACACATGCTCTGATATATCTAAAATTCTTAAATAATATCTCTCTCGATTCTCGAATCAAGATTAGTTCGTTGATAGATGTAATGTTTACTCAGTAAAGCTTTAAAGTGATGTCAGGAATAATAAGTAAAAGTAAATCGGTCGGATAGGAAGGGAGTCTATGTTAGAATCAGAGTGGATGCAGGTTCACCGGAACTAGATTAAGATGTATAATATATAATATTTAAACCAACTAAATAATCTAGAATTCATTCTTTTCAGGAATATGCGGGACAGGTTGACCAATCTTTCCACAAGAGTGAGATCTCCTGAACAGTCACCATCCTCTTCGAACTCCGGGAATATAACTGGATTAGCAGCAGATTACAACCAGCCTAGCTGTTCCTCAACTCCTGACGAAACAGCCATTGACGGGGACCCATCGGCTCTTGACAGAGGCTGAGATGAGGACGGCTGCCAATAACGTCCGGGAACAGTTCATTTCTAGTCTGGGACAGCTCGAATTCAATGGTAAGAAGTAAGAAGCAATCCAAATAATGAAAGATATATTGTACAAAAATATAGATCATCACCCGATTTACACGTTTTAATTTTTATAGCTATCTATTTTGACGGCAAAGAAAGCGAGAGTTTGGTTTGGCTCGACGGAAAGAACCAAAAGATCAGGGAAGAAACATACACTATATTGGCATATCCTGGTGCACATTCTCTAGGATTCGTCACTATAGATGACAAGACAGGTTTTTATTGTGCATTGTGTTTCAAGTCAAACAACTTATCGTACCATCTTAACATCTTAACATCTTAAAATTATGACATCTTAACATCGTAACATCTTAACATCTTAATATCTTAACATCTTAACATCTTAAAATTATGACATCTTAACATCGTAACATCTTAACATCTTAACATCTTAACATCTTAACATCTTAACATCTTAACATCTTATCGTCGACATAGCCTGAACTTAATTCAACTTGAAACATAAAACTTAAAGCTCAAAACAAGTTTCTGATAGTATAGTAGTAAAATACTTTTTGAGTTAATCATGTCGTTATTGAATATAAAGTTAAATGGTTATTATATAATAATGGTTATTAATTCTTGTTGGTACCTTCAGGAAGAGGTATCGCATCAACAATTATCAATTACTTGGAGAGTAAGCGAATCAACTACAAGAAGATAGAGGTGCTAGGGAGTGACGGTACCAACACGCTTACGGGATACAATGTA